GTGTGTGTGTGTGTGTGTGTGTGTGTTTTATCCCTTAGCTGTAAAAACTTGTTACTCGGCAAGGCATCTCATCGTGGTCAAGGAGTGAACTAACTTCGTGGCGAGGCGATGATGCTCCGCACACATCCGGAGCACGTCTCAAAATGGCTAAGGCTCTGCCAGAATGTTTCTGTCAAGAGAACCGCTGAATTGGCAGCCCAATCTTCAGGAGGGGGAGCGAACGAATGTCTAGGACGGATAACAGAATCCCCTAATTTACCTGGATCAGCTGTAATGCACAGCATAATCCTCCAATTATGCAGTTAGCAACTTTTCTAGTTGCTTTGACCAGTGCTGTACCGAGTGGTGATCAGTCTTTGGCGTCTACTTTTACCTCTTAGTGCTCGAGGAAATATCAGTGATGCGTTCTGAGTGCAGTAAATTGAAAATTATTTAAAACCAAGGAGTGTTAGACACATTTTTTTCTTCGCCGGGAAGTAAATAAGCGTCACAATCCTCGATTGCATATGGCACTTACTGGACCGAAACATTTCTTAGCAATTACAAATATTTGAATACTCTCCTTCCCCCTTCTTTTCACTTCGTTCTCCTTTCCTTCTTTTTCCTTCTCCTCATTTTCTACTTTAATGCAGAAAGGGGTGCAAGTTCTTCTAGATTTGCAGCATCGCTGATGTCCTCAAAGTGTCAAACCGGAAAGCCTATATGTACTGCTTCAGCAGCACTGAGCAATACCTATGAAATAGAGATGCATGCTTCGCTTGTCGCATCACTGCATTTTTTTTGGAAGTTCACATTGGTACTGGAATTGGTACTTACGCTGGTATTTCTGTGTACATAATTTGGATAAATTTTATTTCAGGCCTCTGCCAGGAGTGCCACTAGAAAGTTCCACTCCCCGAATGTCACAGTCGACAGATGGGACTTTCGAAGTAGCCGAAATTGAAGGTCTCATTCGGCGTTATGTTACAATCGGACAGTACAAAACGGCAATGTTTTGGGCGGACAAACGACTGGCGCTATGTCGCAAGAATAATGAACGAGCATCGTTTGTGGATATGGCTGAATTTGTCAAGGTATTTTGAGGAACCTTTTAGCTCAAAGTTTAAAATTACAAAAAAAA